AATCTGTTGGATAGACAGGTTTGTGGATTCATTAGGCAATGGGTCGACGATAATGTGTTGAACCATATTTCTGAGAAAACACATGCTCGAACCCTATGGGAGCATCTTGAAAGTTTGTATGCTCGAAAGACTGACAACAACAAAATGTTCTTAATAAAGCAGATGTTGAGTTTGAAGTATCATGATGGTTCTCCGATGACAGTCCATCTGAATAATTTTCAGGAGATTATGAACCAATTATCTGCTATGGGCATCAAATTTAATGAAGAAATTCAAGGCTTGCTTCTACTTGGTTCCCTACCAGATTCTTGGGAAACATTTAGAACGTCATTGTCAAATTCTGCTCTGAATGGTGTGATCTCTATGGATTCTGGCAAGAGTAGTGTCTTGAATGAAGAGATGAGAAGAAAAACTCAAGGTTCCTCTTCGTCGGATGTCCTGATAACTGGCCCCAGAGGGAGAAATAAAACTCATGGTTCTCAACAAAGAGAACAAAATAGGAGAAAATCCAAAGGCAGACTTAAGGATATTGAGTGCTATCATTGTGGCATGAAAGGGCACACAAAGAAGTTCTGTAGAAAGTTGAAGAGGGAGAACAAAAACAAAGAGGAAACTAAAGAAGATGGCAATGAAAATTGCCTAGCCACCGTCACCACCGAAGATCTTGTTACCGTTCTTGATGCAAAAACATGATGAGTCAAGCTGGGTTGTGGACACTGGTGCCGTATCTCATGTGACATAAAGGAAGGATTTTTTCTCTTCCTACACTCCTGGTGATTTTGGAACCTTGAGTATGGGTAATGAGACTGTTTCTAGGGTGGTTGGTATTGGTACAATTTGTTTGAAAAATAGTGTTGGATCTAAACTAGTTTTGAACAATGTGAAACATGCTTTTGATGTTCATCTGCACCTAATTTCTGTTGGTGTTTTAGATGATGAAGGATATGTTAGTACCAACGGTGATGGAAAATGAAAGATCATTAAGGGTTCCTTGGTTGTGGCTCATGGTAACAAGCGTCGTGGTATATACTGGACTACGGCCTCTGCTTGTTTTGATATGGTGAATGCGGTTGAGAGCGATAGCTCTTCAACATTATGGCACAAGAGGCTTAGCCACAGTAACGAGAAAGGACTTAATGTTCTAGCTAAGAAGAAATTATTGTCAAATATCCAAAGTGCTAAATTAGAAAAATGTGAGCACTGCTTGGCTGGTAAACAAAATAGAGTTTCCTTTAAGTCCTACCCTCCTTCGAGAAAGACATATTTGCTTGAGTTAGTGCACTCTGATTTATGTGGTCCAATGAAGACAAAGACATTGGGTGGTGCACTTTACTTTGTCACTTTCATTGATGATTGCTCGAGAAAACTTTGGGTCTATGTCTTGAAGACTAAAGACCAAGTGTTAGGTGTCTTTAAACAGTTTCAGGCTTCAATTGAAAGAGAAACTGAAAAGAAATTGAAATGTATTTGTACTGATAATGGTGGTGAATATTGTGGACCGTTTGACGAATAGTGCAAGCATAAAGGTATTAGACACCAGAAGACTCCTCCCAAGACTCCTCAGCTTAATGGTTTGGCTGAGAGGATGAACATGACCTTGATGGAAAGAGTTAGATGTTTGCTTTCTGAAGCAAAGTTGTCGAACTCATTTTGGGTTGAGGCTTTATTGACCGCTGCAAATGTTATTAACCTATCTCCTACTGTTTCTTTGCAAAGTGATGTACAAAATAGTGTTTGGTATGGAAAGGATGTTTCCTATGACCATTTGAGAGCATTTGGTTGCAAAGCTTTTATACATGTGTCGAAAGATAAGAGGTCAAAATTAGATGCAAAGACAAGGCAATGCATCTTCATTGGATATGTCCTAGATGAATTTGGTTACATGCTATATGATCCAATTGAAAATAAACTTGTGAGAAGCCGTGATATTATTTTCACGGAGAATCAAACAATTGAAGATATTGATAAAGCGGAGAAGGTAGAATCTTCAAGTTTTGATGGTATAGTTCAACATGATGAAATTCCTCACACAAGTGTGCATGATGTTGTTGTGTTTGATAATCATGGTAACGCCTAGAATCATGTATTGAATCAACATGTTGATGTTGATAATAACAATGATATTGTTATTGATGATCCTATTGCTCATGAAGTTGTGGACGAATCAAATATTCCGCTTCGGAGGTCCACAAGACAGCGGTTTCCTTCCTCCCGTTATTCACCCAATGAGTATGTGTTACTCACTGACGGGGGAGAACCTAAATGTTATGAGGAGGCTATGGAAGATGAGCACAAGAATCAATGGATTGAAGCCATGCAAGACGAGATGAAGTCTTTGCATGAGAACCACACTTATGAGTTGGTAAAATTTCCCAAGGTCATGAGAGCTTTGAAGAACAAGTGGGTGTTCAAAGTTAAAGTTGAAGAACACAACTTGAAGCCCAAGTACAAAGCTAGATTGGTTGTTAAGGGATTCAGTCAAAGGAAAGGTATTGACTTTGATGAAATATTTTCTCCTGTTGTGAAAATGTCCTCGATTCACCCAATTCTAGGTTTGGCTGCTAGTCTTAATTTAGAGATTGAACAGATGGATGTAAAGACGGCTTTCCTTCACGGTGACCTAGAAGAAGAGATTTATATGGAACAACTTGAGGGCTTCAAAGTAGAAGGTAAAGAAAATTTTGTATGCAAACTCAAAAAGAGTCTCTATGGCCTAAAACAAGTTCCCAGACACTGGTACAAAAAATTTGAATCATTTATGGGGGAGCAAGGCTATAAGAAGACTTCTTCATATCATTGCCTATTTGTACAAAAAATTTCTGACAATGATTTTATCATCCTTTTATTGTATGTGGATGATATGTTGATTGTGGGCAAGAATACTTCCAAGATTGACGAGCTGAAGAAAGAGTTGTGTAAATTTTTTTCTATGAAAGACTTGGGTCATGCCAAGCAAATTTTGGGCATGAAAATTACTCGTCTTAGAGATAAAAGGAAGATTTATTTGTCCCAGAAGAAGTACATTGAACGTGTACTGGAGCGCTTCAATATGAAGAATGCTAAGCCTGTTAGTATACCTCTTGCTGGTCAAATGAAGTTGAGCAAGAAGATGTGTCCTACAGCTAGGGAGAAAAAACAGAACATGGCCAAAGTTCCATATTCCTCCGCCGTCGGAAGTCTAATGTATGAAATGGTGTGCACTAGACCTGATATTGCTCATGCAGTTGGTGTTGTCAGTAGATTTCTCCAAAATCCGAGAAAAGAGCATTGAGAAGCTGTGAAGTGGATACTTAGGTATCTTAGAGGAAGCTAAGATGAATGCTTGTGTTTTGGAGCATCAAATCCAATCTTGAACGGCTATATAGATTCTGATATGGCAGGTGACCTTGATAACAGAAAATCAACTACTGGATATTTATTTACTTTTTCAGGGGGAGCTATATCATGGCAGTCAAAGTTGCAGAAGTGTGTTGCACTATCTACAACTGAAGCTGAGTATATTGCGGCTACTGAAGCCGGCAAGGAGATGATATGGCTAAAGCGATTTCTTGAAGAGCTTGGTTTGCATCAGATGGAGTATATTGTCTATTGTGACAGCCAGAGTGCAATAGACTTGAGCAAGAACTCCATGTACCATGCAAGAACAAAACACATTGACGTCAGATATCATTGGATTCGTGAGAAAGTGGAGAATGAATCATTTCACGTCAAAAAGATTCACACAAGTGAAAATCCTGCAGAAATGCTGACCAAGATGATACCGAAAGACAAGTTCGAGTTATGCAAAGACCTTGTGGGTATGAGCTCTCTCTAAAGAAGTTGAAGATATATTTTTCCAGTAAATGGGACTGGAGGGGGAGATTTGTTGAATCCATCCCCTTTTTTGGTCAACTCTAGCTATTCAATTGGTACAAGCAATTGTTAAAAAAGAATAGTAATTGGAGTTGAAAAGAAAAGATTTGGTAGTTGGACAATTGGTAAGATTTGCAACCATTTTTGACTTTGTTATATTATCTATGTCATTAGTGACATAAGCATGGTTTTATCCTCCTATAAATAGAGCATTCTTGCTCATTTGTAGAACACACCAAGTTAGAGAGAAAAATCATTTTGAGAGCAAAGTGAGGTATTCCATAGACTATATAAGAAAATAGTCTGTGAAGAAAAATAGAGTGTGAGCGATATTTTAGTAAGACGGAAACCAAAAGAGTGTTGTTCCTTTTGAGTGTGTAGTAGTCACTTTGAGTGTTGTATTCGTGACTACACAGTGTAAAATTCTTTACTATAGTAATATCAGTTGCTCCTCTTGGCCCGTTTTTTTCCTTATTCAGAAGGATTTCCACGTAAAATTTTTGGTGTCGTTATTTTCTCATTTTATTTCCATTACTTTTACCATATATACTTTTGTGCTTGTCCGCGTTTTCCCAACATGCAGATGATGATTTACTCCTGCGAGCTTTGGCGGCTTCAGGGCGTAACATTTTGGTCTTCCACACTGTGGACCTCTGTCTGTAGTAGCATTCCTTTCTCTTTCATTTGCTTCTGTTTTTTTCATTTTGTTTATTTTTGGTTCTTTAGTTGATTGTTTCCTTTGCTGAAGTGGTAAGGCTTGTGGGCCTAAACTCATCAGTTTTTGTTTGATTGACATTTTAATTTGTTTTAATAAATTATTGAATCCAATTTGGACCCTTTTATTCGTAAAAAAATGTTTGTACAAGGCATCTTAATCTAAAATACTTTAAATTAATATATTAATATTATCTAGGCATCGCATGAATAGTATATATATACTACGACATCATAGAAATTATATTACTAGCTCAATTACTACCGAAAATCTATAATTTCGAAAAAAATAGTAAGACAAAATCAATGAATATACCTTTTCGCTTTCAAATTACTTGTCATATATCACTTCAAGATAGAAAAGGAACATGAAAGTACAAGTACAAGTACAATTGAATAAAATTACAAAGTATACTAGACGTGAATATTTATAATTATGAGAACCAATAACCCAAACTGTTATTGTTGGATGGATCATCTTGCAATGGCTGTAAACAATCATCAAAACCAAAATAGCTAAAATTCCCAGCTGTTGTTGTAGTCATTGTGCTTGCTCCATATTCATTATTTGTACCAATTATCATTTCATTCTTACTGTCATATCCCATCTCCGAATTTGGAAATTCACTATTCAAGTTGTAGTAGTTACCACTGCTTGTTATATCCTCTGGCAATGGTGGCAATTCTGTTGTTGTTTTATTCTTACTATTATACCTGTATGGTCAGTTGGACACCCTTCATTACAAAATTATATTATGCATATGGATCAGAATTATATTTATCACATTTTTGTGAGTTTTCTATCTGAACTATTATGTGTTCACTCTTCCTATTTGAATTATCATGTGTTCATTCTTACTATCTGAACTGTCTCTATCGCTAAGATAGGAAAAGGGAAAAATTGATAGTTCACATATGTTTTGATAAATAGTTGGTCAACATCGTGCTTGGATCAAGATATAGTCAGATGCAGTTTTTGGATGGAAATAATTATATATTTAAACGATTAAAAGTTATAATAGTTTAATCTTTTGAATGAAATTATGACATGATTTGATACCTGTAACAATCTTCCATATGCATGTCGTAGTTGGGGTTATAGTATTGTTGTGACACAAACTCTACACCATCACAACTATCGCCACCAACATTATTCATGTTGCTGAGGGAAAACTGACTGAAGTGGGCCCCATAATCGGCATTAGGAGCTGGAGCATTCTCAGTCTGATCAAAGACCAATAAATGTTGTTGTTGTTGTTGTTGTTGTTGTTGTTGTTGTTGTTGTTGTTGTTGTTGGTGGTGGTGGTGATGATGGTGTTGATATTGATCGTCAGGGGAGATTATACAAGTAACCGAATAGCCATGTGGCATGTCAGAGTAGACAAAGTTAGTCCGATTTGGTTTGTTAGATTTGTTGTTAACACGCATGGAACGTGCAGCTCTATCATAAGACAACGCAGCTTCTTCAGCAGTGTCAAATGTTCCGAGCCAATGCCTTTCTTTCGTGTTTGGATCTCTTATCTCCGCAGCATATCGACCCCATGGCCTTCGCCTTACTCCCAAATATCGAAAATTGCTCTGTTGTTCCTCTGTTTTTTGCTTGACACTTTGATTACTAGTACCATTGTTCTTTCTTGGTTTCCTGCTCGTACTAGTTGATGAAGAAGTGGATGATTTGATCAAATCCATTTTGAAAATTTTTTTGTTTGAAGTTTAAGTTATGAATTCGCCTCTGCTAGTTCGATAGAGAAAAATAGTATACTAAGTTATGATGGTTGAGAAGTATTTTTCTTGACTGAAATAGTGTCTGTTGCATACAAAAATATATAGAGTGACAATCATATTTTGTTCATTATTTTAAAATCTCTGTTAATTATGAATAATGATTGCCTTAAGTGATAATGCAAGTATTAGGACTTCTTGATGTTAATCATGTTATGGGCTTAAATCTTGTGTGTTGCTCCACTTTTTCTTTCAAAAAATATGTGTTTAAGCAAATTTATACTAATTAGTTACTCATTATAGCTATAGTTTGCTATAATTTTCATCCGCGACTAACATTATACATTAATTATATGAGCTGACTTCAAGTTTGTACAATTAGACACCTTTGAATATGTATAATTCGACAAAATATACAAATATCTATATGTATAATATATGATTATCTAACTAATATACATATACAATTCATTTCTCTCCCACTTTGCCCTCTCTCGCTTGCCTTTCTCCTCCCTCTACCAATCTCGCTCACCTCTCTCCTCCATCTCCCAATCTTGCTTCCTTATATACAATTGCATATGTATATTATACAATTATCTAACCAATATACATATACCAATCACCTCTCTCCCACTCTTTCCCCCCCCCCCCCCCCTCTCGCCTCTCTCCCATTATCGCTCGCTTCTCTCCTTCCTCTCCCAATCTCGCTCTTCTTATCCTCCCTACCCCAATGTCACTTGTCATATATACAAATACATATGTATAATATACAATTATATAACCGATGTACATTTACAATTGACCTTTCTCCCACTTTTTTCCTCTCTCTTCCAATCTCGCTCGCCTCTCTCCTCTCTATAACATGTAGCTACGAATTGTAATTATCAAACTATAGCTATGGAGAGTAATTAAGCTATTTTTGAATGGCTATATGTGAAAGTTCTTTTTTTATTCATTCGAGATTCAAAATTCATTACTCAATTAATCTTGAGTCGAATCACATAACATTTATTAAAGAAGAACATGGTCCTTACTGTTCTTTGTTCTCAGTTCTTAAACATGAAATCTCTAGGACCACCCTTGGTACTTTATGATTGTAGTGATGTGATTCCTTAGATGATTTCATTCGAAATCATACAAAGACAATTCCTATTTGATATAGCTACTTGTGCAAGTGTTTTTGCCATTAAGAAGTAATTACCTCCTATACAGATCGTGTATTAATCTACTATAACTATAAGATACTCCCATTTCACAAATTAAAGTGTTTATCCTAGTGACCTATAAACGTCGAAAATCTCTCTTTTTCCTATTCATATCGTGATGAACCGAAACCAAACTCGTATTTTCTGTTGAGTGATAGTTCTAATAAGCATGAACATGATTCAAGTGTACAAGTTTGTTAGGATGATTCAACTTCATACATCACAATCCTTCCACTCGACACCTATCGTAGTAAATGGTTGTCGCTCCATCCCTGTAGGGGCAGATAATCCATATCAAGTCTCATTGTAAATGAAGTTAAATTGTATTTTGGGACCAAGGGTGGAGTTAGGGAGGCAAAGAGGTTCGTTCGAATCTCCTTTTTTATAAAATTATATGTATACATAGGACGGGCATAGAGTATTAATTGTTAATTTATGTGAATTTAATAGCTTTTGTGTTATTTATTAATAATAATTATATATTTTACCAACATCAATTCAATCATTATTATTTATTAACTTAAAAGTCATTTCAGAAATCTATTAAATTATGAATCAACCTATATATATACCATGTCAAAATTATTGGACATAAAAGTATGATGTATTTAAGCCAATGAGCTAAATGATTGCATGCTCATCAGGTTTCAATATTCCAAATGATGACTCAAGTATATGCACTCTTATTTAGCAATCATTAGGTGCATTTAGCTATCTTGGAATTTCTCATATCAAATTGGATTTTGTAAAGAAGTTTCTAATTGATTATTAGTTTTATATACAATTAAATGAGACTTTGTTATAATATGAAAATAGTGGGCCTTGGTTTTCAATATGTTTGTATGATTAATAGTATCTGGTCAAGTTTACTAATTATAAGAGCTATATCACATTCACATGTCACACAAAATCACAAGTAAATAATGATCACTGGAGTCAATATTTTTTTTTAATGTAGACTCAAGATACTTTTTAATTTTTAATTCTCTATTTTTCACTACTAGATGTCTATGATCCGTATTAAATCGCGATTAAATTTTACTTCATGCATTATAGACTATATTTCTAAAGGTGACACTAACTTTTACCATGATTTTTTATTCTCTCAAACTCACACTTAAAATTTTTAATTAAAGATGAAAGAATTTCAACTATCACATCAGAATCAAAGTTGATTAGACCCAAAATTCTTGATTATTCGTATAGAAAATTTATGTTGTTAACTTTATTATTTTATGTGGCCATATTATATGATAATCATGTTCTTGATTGTGCTTCATGTGGACAAAAGTATATTTTAATCTTTTGTGCATGTTATTCCAACATGACTCAATCCTTAGTACCAAGTTATTTGACCCTATCTTTGAATAAAATGATAAGATTTATTTTTTGAAAAAAAAAAATTAATCTACGTTAATATGTTAGCCTTTTCCTAGCTAACGCGAAATATGTTGTGTTCCAAACTCATTTCGAGGAAGCTAGCCGTTGCTCAGGATACTGAAAATGCTTAAAGAATGCAGACAAACTTATTTTTATTTACTTAATTGGCTAGTGATATTACTACAAATTATTATTATTTTGCCAAACTTGCAACTATATTGTACAATAGCTTTAATGAGTTGTGATTTTTTTGTGATTGGATGAAAATTATTGGGCATGATTAATTTTAATTTTTTAAATACAAGTAGCATATGTGTTTGAATGCTAAGTTGAATGTGCTAATCATTTTAAGTCTTGAGTTCCTAATTAATATTCTCATATGAAATTTGACCAAGAGTATCATGATAAAATTGACGTGACCTTATAGTTGAAGAGAATAGGTTCATCATGATCACTAATTATCTTCTACCAAAATAGATGTCAAAACATGCAAACATAATTAAAAGAAACTTCGATAATATGTGTTGATCAATTAACTCTTAATGTATATTTGCATCTTCTACTATATATGAAGGTTTGAGTTGTTGACTTTAGTGCCGCTAAGGGGTCGTGTGGTGGCTGATTAAGAGGTGAATTATTTATGTATTAAATCTCGTATAGCTTGATTTATATTTGGTAGTATTTTTTTGCTATGTCTGAAATTCAATACACCAAATACAATGTTTGGTGAGTAATTTAGAATATCGCTGTTCTTATTTTACCGGAGGGGTTTGAATTAGCTCCTCCCGATCGTATGATATATGTATAAGTTAATTAAGAGGATATCTATGTATTACTTTATATAGAATAGAAGACCAAATAATTAATATATATATAATTAATGCTATTTAATTATACACATATAACTAATTTTTACATTACTTTTATGTATATATATATATATATATATATATACACACTCTAATCAACAAGAAGACAACCCTGACTTCTTCATACACTAATTAATGATATAAATGCATAATTCTAACTAGCAACCAATCAACCTAAGTGAATCGAAGAAAGTAATTTGGTTTATTTTAAAGAAATTTCTTGTTGCTTATATTAGCTTTTTTTTCAAATTATTCTTCTAATTTTTTTTTCTTGGGATATGCGGTGCTTGGTGAATGGCAATTATTTGTTGGCATGGATTGAGGACACAAGAATGCACATGATATTAATGATGTGAAAGTAATATATAATCATAATTAGCATAATGATCAAATGAGTACTTAAGGCAATGTTTGTGGAACCCATTTGGATTTACGATGAAATATTTGGAGGATCCAACCAAATTTATGGGTAGATGAATTTTTAATTTATTTGGTAGGATCATCATGTGAAGCAAGTTTAAATAAAGAAGTAAGGAATTCATAAAATTCAACTTGTTTTGGACTGAAATGCAATTGTTCTTGTTGTATTTATTTTTTTAAAATTTGATTTAAGCAATTTAGATGCGTATCATCGAAAATTCATGAAAGAGTATTCAATTTCATTTTCTGTACTTAATTATCTTAATTTTAATTATTAAGATTTAAATTTTTAAACTAATTAATTGACAAAAAAGTTAGTTAGTCAATTAATTTTACACGTTCTATTACTGTCATTGTCCATCATTATCGACTATTACCTCTATTTTTAGTGAATATAACTTGAAACTTAAATTAAACCATAAAATAACAAAATTTGAGCCCACGACATGATTAACATCAGATAGTCCTAAGACTTGCAACATCATTTGAAGTAATCATGATTCATGATTGACAAAATTTCTACTACTAAACTTAGTTCAAAATAATTACTAACATTATTATTTTTGAAGACTCACTCTCTCTATATATATTGGTATGTAACATCCACTATTCATTAAAGGAAAAAAACACACATTCTACCCTATCTCTGTATTCTCAAATAGTCAACAAACTAAAAGAGGAAAATTCAGAATTCAAAGTTCTACGAAAAATTTTCAAAATGGATTTGATCAAATCATCGACTTCATCATCAACTAGTAAGAGCACGAAACCAAGAAAGAACAATGGTACTAGTAATCAAAGTGTCAAGCAAAAAACAGAGGAACAACAGAGCAATTTTCGATATCTGGGAGTAAGGCGAAGGCCATGGGGTCGATATGCTGCGGAGATAAGAGATCCAAACACGAAAGAAAGGCATTGGCTCGGAACATTTGACACTGCTGAAGAAGCTGCGTTGGCTTATGATAGAGCTGCACGTTCCATGCGTGTTAACAACAAATCTAACAAACCAACTCGGACTAACTTTGTCTACTCTGACATGCCACATGGCTATTCGGTTACTTGTATAGTCTCCCCTGACGATCAATATCAACACCATCACCACCACCAACAACAACAGTTATTGATTTTTGGTCAGACCGAGAATAATCCTGCTCCTAACGTCGATTATGGGGCCCACTTCAGTCATTTTTCCCTCAGCAACATGAATAATATTGGTGGCGATAGTTATGATGATGGAGAGTTTGCGCTACAACATTACTGTAACCCCAACTACGACGTGCATATGGAAGATGGTTACAGGTATTAGATCGTGTGATAATCTAATTCAAAAGATTAAACTGTTATAGAGAACATACTTTAAATTGTTTAATTATAATTATGCCATCTAAAAACACCATCCGAGTCTTTCTTGATCAAAGCACTTGCATCAATGAGATGTTCACCAACTATTTACCAAAACATACGTGAACTATCAATTGTTCCCTTTTCCTACCTGAGCAATAGTGATAGTTCAGATAGGAAGAGTGAACACATGATAATTCAGGTATTGATCCGCACAAATTTGATAAATATAATTTCGATTCATATGCATAATATAATTTTCCAACGAAGAGTGTTCAACTGACATCTTTTAACGACAGGTATGATAGTAATACAACATCAACAGAATTGCCACCATTGCCAGAGGATATAACAAGCAGTGGTTACTACTACAACTTGAGTAGTGAATTTCCATATTCAGAAATGGGGTATAACAGTAAGAATGAAATGATAATTGGTACAAATAATGAATATCAATATGGAGCAAGTACAATCACTACAACAAGTAGTACAACAACAACAGCTGGGAGTTTTAATTATTTTGGTTTTGATGATTGTTTACAGCCACTGCAAGATGAATCCAACAATAATCGTTTGGGTTATTTCTTCTCATAAAATCAAACAATTTTCAGATAGCTTAAATACGTGAGAGATATCGTAAGTGGCAGAGTGACTTTGTTGGCATAGAGATTCAGCTCTTCGTCGCTCCGATTTATTTTTAAAAAAAGGCATAACCATCTTTGGGAAATTTGCACGACCGTGCAACGTGAATCCAGATTAGTCGAACCTAAACTCTTGTTGATTTCTCCTTGTGTTTTTAATTATTTTCTTAAATATTTGGTCTTAATGATTAGAGCTGCAATTTCATCATCCTTAGTGAAGTGAATGAATATATAACAAGTTCATCATTTATTTTTAATTATTATTATAATCTCACTCTCCTATCTTAATAATTCTGGTTGTTGATTGTGTTGGGGAGAGCTATAGTTCTACTTACGAGTTCAACAAATGTTTTAAAGTTAAGTATACTTCACAAAGCATCTAACTTATTCATAATCTCTCATTTCTGCGGTTAAGAGACTTAAATAACTATAGCATACTAGAATCGAAAATGCTCTGAGCATAAAAGTTAAATGGGTCTATTCTTGATATAGTCAGAGGTACACATCTCTCTTGGTGTGGAATGATATATGAGAAATAGACAGTGTGCAATGTAACGACACTAGAGTAGTGAATCTATCGATATCATAATAATGCTATACACTTTGGACCTAACAAAACGATAGAACTAGTACAATTATTGTTTGAAGTCTATTCAACGCTAGATGCAAAAGCGCATATTAGATCAATATGAAGATTACTGTTATACACTTTGGACCTAATGAAACGGTAGAACTAGTACATATTATTTGAATTGTTTGGCAAAAAGAAACAGATGTTGAGAAGGGAGAAAAAGAGATTGTGTCAGACTTGAATTTCTGTTAGAAACCCCCACTTAATATCTATAAATAATTTATTCGAAACCTAATAAGCTGTCTTTTCTAGAATCCAAAACCTAAAACTCAAAAGAAGCTTAATAACGTCCTAGTTATGCATGCCATTTTCAATCTCATAGCCATAAACTCCAATTTTTAGAAATATAAACTTGCAGCAGTATCTTACAACTTCTCCAGAAAAACATTCATTGAATGGCAATGTCATCAAAGAATAATAGAATGCAATTCCTATCTCTATGAGCTGCTAATCATTCACAAGAAAAAGAGAGTATTGAGAACCCACTCCTCCAGCCACGACGATCCTACAACTTCAAATGCTGCAGCAATAGCCACGTCATCAATGCAGGAAGAACGAAAACTTCAACGAATTAGACCACTTCTTTCTCCCTGTCTTTCATATAGTGTTCTGTACTAATCTGTACAACCCGATTATGTTATCTCCCAGTGGCCTTTATGGTCTCCGTTTTCATTTCTCACATCGATCTACCCCACCACCTATGGTTTTTATCCGGCTGTCTGTTTCTTTACAATCATCAACACCCTGTCGTCTGCCAACTTCCTCGTCAAAGTTCTTCATTTTGTGCATATCTGAATTTGTAGTAGCCCCACCCAAGTAAGATAGGGTGTTGAAGCTTAAAGAGCGATCAAGCTGCACGTGTGCACGGAAATCGATCCTGGAACTTGGCACACCGGTGCAAAAGATCTCATTAAAATTCCGAGCACATCCAAGATTAAAAGGATTCATCTTCCTCTCATAACGATACCGGTAATTTTCATATGTTGTCTGCAGGAAATACAACATTCTGAAGGGTGAGAAGCAGAACTGAAAAATATCATTTAAAATAGAAGAGAAGGGGGGCAAAATAGACCTGGTTTGTGATTATCAAGTACAAATGAAATGCTGTGAGACCTCCAAGAAACCAAGAAACTACAAACGTATACATTATAAGGATGCCTGAAGCAGGTGACTTAAAAAATGCACTCCAAATGTTACAATTGTGTGCATCCATAATCTTCTTTATATTTACCCAGCAGAAAGCAAAGACATAGAGGCTCAGGAAGTTTGTAGATGAAACAAACATGAAAAAGTAACGATAGTTCCTCTGCAAGAAATAACGTGAATATATCACAGATGAGACAATAAAGAAAGCATATATACATTGATTGTTCAAAAACTTTATTGATAACACTGAAGCACATTCAGTTTAACATGACAGGTATGTATAAGCACGAGCTGTATGCGAAGTATCATCTGTTTGAATCTTACCAAAGTCTAGAAGAGGCAAATTCCAAACTATGGTAGCATTCACTATTTGTAGGTCAGATAAGTATGCAGAGAATAGAGGCAGTACCTTAAACTGTAGCTAATTCAAACAGAGAAAAGATAAAATCTATCCCAGAGAGATATACACGGAAGCAGAAAACAAGATCTTTCAATAAGCAGGGGTAGATGCAGCCTTCTGGCTACGGGTTCAGTTGAACCTATAACTTTAGAAACGGTTAATAGATATTTATGTAAAACTTACTAAAATCTTAATAAACATTAGATTTGAACCCATAATTTTAATAGCACATTGAGCTTAATACTGAATTTCTTAAAAGTTGAACCCGTTAAATTTAAATTCTGGAACCACCTCTGCGAACAAGAGCTCCCATAATGTCAATAAATTTACCATGCAAGAGTAAGTATGTTTTGTAGACAGGAGAGGAATCTTAGTAGCTCAGTAGGTTGGCGTTGGCAACCTTAATTTTGCTTGTTTTCGAGAGTTCGATTCCCCACCTTGTAATCCCCTCCCCTATTTCCACTTCCCCCACCCCCGCCCCCAATTTTTGTAAAAAAAAGTGTTTTCTGGACAGGACAAGATTAACCAGAAGCTAAAGGACAATATATCCAGATGACAAAACTTTTTGAGATGCAAGCATAGATCACACCTACCTTCCCAATGCACTGTCCCACCCAGGGGCAATGGTGGTCGAAGCGCTCAATGCAATTGTCGCATATGGAGCAATGAGAGCAACGTGGTGGCCGATATAGCATACATGTTTTGCAGTATTTTACTTTGACAACTATTCCATTGACAGTAACATTTTTCATAGGCGGTAAACTGATAGGACCAGTCTGACTTCCTAAACAACTTGTCGAGATGCTAGAGGTATCACATTCATCGTCAGTGTCTGGAGGATGGGCATTTCGTGGAACAATTCCAGGATTTGTTCCAGATGTTAGCAAGAGAAGAACTACAATCTGCAAGAGTTTCAATCAATACATTAGACATTACCTATTAAGATCCCCCATCGACCATGAAGCAACTTTAAGCACACACCAATCCAAATAGAGAGAGTGAAAAATATACAAAGATCGCCTCTTGGTGGATGCTCATGCATCAAACCATGCGTCATTTTTGCATACTTATAGTTTATACATATTCATAAAATAAAGAACATGGTATGCTAAATAAGATAAGTAGTAATTCTTAGAGCAAACAAACTGCATGAGCAGAAGAAAATGCCTACATCTAAGGGAAAAGCATGGCACATACTAAAAATGCTGATTACCGGATGGCTTGCATGAATTATAACTAAATTTTTGACAGAAAGGGGATATGATATTTTACTGTCTTTTTTATATAATAGAGCCAGTGATAAAGTAGCTGCCACACTTGGCATAGTTATAATAACCTAGTTTGATCCAATTTATGTCTGCGAGTGAATGGCATTGTCACCAAACGGGATGTATTCGTTTTTCACCTGATTCATTTATTATCTTGCATCCTAACATTGATGGACTAAAAGTAACAGCAGATAAAGATGGATTGGAAACAGATAAAGCAGTAACAGTCAAATAAAAGAAGAAGAAAACTCACAAAGACTGAGAAGAGAAGAGATATGGCCATAATAAGATAGCCAAATCGGTGGGGAAATGCATTGATGAGTTCTCTCGAAACAAAAGCACAAAACAATGCTACTGGAAATAGGATCAAGAACAACGTAAGAAACAGTGCTCTAATATCTGGACCAAAAACAAGTCTGCCTCCAAGGTAGAATCTCTGCAAAGATATAAAAGACTATAATGAGATAGTAGGGACTATAATGATTTCTTTCACCAGCTTCAGTTTACAAATAATATAGTAAAATTGGAAAAACAGTTCAAACAGTGACAGGCTATTTCCGCAGCCTTTACTTTTCACTTCTGTTGCCTATTCTACACTAAAGTAAAGTTTCATCATAATTCGCTGCCTAAAAATAGCTAGCTCAAGTCCCACTAAACGAGCAGGGTTGCGATAGGTTAACAACCATGTAAAGATTGCCAAACCGTGATGAATAGCTAGCTCAAGTCCCATTGATATTTTTTTGTGGAATACTTGGAGTTCAATTTATCTTTTTCTGACGGTGGCATTCCTTTACTATTACATTGGGTAGCTGCTACCTCCCACCAAGCATTAGTATTGAGTAACTCTACCCACCAAGACTTAGGTAGACGGGAAGAAGCCACGGTTAAATTTATAATGTTTGGAGAAAACACTTAATGCAAAAGGATGATAATTGAACAACGTGGTTCTTGCAAACCAAAATATATATAAATTCAGGAGAAACACAAAGAAAAAGATCAGCAGTACATTTCTTCCTTGCCAAACTTGATAAAGTCGCAATTGTGAGCCATTAGTGTTGTCAATTCTCTCTTTGGAATCACATCGGGTGCTAGTAGAAGACGGGGGAGGTGAATACATTTTCCTTGGCAAGCTGACGGAGATCTCACGGATCTCCAATCAATTACAAATTCAAGCATCTGTGTCTTTATCCAATCTTTATAGCTACAGTGATGAAAGCTTGAACCTCAATCAACAATCTTGCCATGGAACACATAAATCAATAAAATGACAAAAGGCCTTTTCGTGATCGATAGAACAAGTCTTTATAAATACCCCAATTGAGAATTTTGGGAAATAAACACAATCCCCAACAATCTTACAATGCACAGAAAAGCAAACAAACCCCAAATATGCCCAATTTGGAAATTTTAGAGACACAGCAAATCCTTTTTCTTCTCGTAAAATTCTGTCTTTTGCACCTAAATGGATACTTTTGTGAAATAAACACAATTTCCAACAATTTGGGAATTTAGGGACTTGTGTAAAATGCTATTAATACAACAAACCTAATACCCAAATCGAGAATTTTCCAAATGTAACACAATTCCAACAATATTCCAATGAACAAACAACAAATTTGTTTTTATGTGAAATAAAATAGTAGTAATAGGTATGGTTTTTGTTGGATGAAAATATAGGTTCGGGCTCTCTCCTCCTTCTATAACTGGAAAATATTGGTATGATATGTTAATGTTTGTAAGAATTGAAAGTGTGAAGCTGAAGGAGAGAGAGGCGAGAGAAAGGAAGAAAAGCAAAATCCATTAGAAGCTAATTTTGCAATTATGAGAATTAAGCAATACCGTTCACCTCAATTCTCTGAATTTACTCTCAACCGCTCCCTATATATTTTGATTTTTGACCCTTTATTTGTTTATCTACTGAGTTGGAGTGAGCTTGGTCCAATCTCTCTCCCCGGTGGTTACATCCGCCATCACCGCTAATTTTCCGGCGTCTCTCCCCGTTGGGTCCATCCAGCCACATCGCTCCTTTCCCGGCGTCCATCTCCGGTGGTTCCACACTACACTAATAAAAGTCAAATGAAGGGAAAAAAAGGGAAACTAATAAAAATGATTTCGATTTAGGTTAAACATCTTCAATTTATCTCTATTTTAGTCTCCATTTCTATGTTTAGTTCTCCAAATTCACTGAACATGTCAATAGGGATTATGGATTACCCATTCATTCGAGCTAACTCATATATGGTTTGACACTTACATGATCAAATTAATTAATTTTTATTGTGGGTCTAAAATGTAATTGAACCAACTTACAAATATGTGGAATAGAGACTTGCCGGATCAATTTATTTTAAAATTTATATATTTTTAATTATTAAATTAAATTATAAAATATAAATTTAAAAAATTATCATAAATATTGACAAAATAATATTATATTATATTAATATTATTATTTGTTAATCAAATTCACGAATAAAATTATTTTTATAATATTTATTAAGTTTTTTTTAAAAATAAAAATATAAATATCTATAAAGAAATATTAACCTAAGGGGCCGTTTGGTTACAGTATAACTTACTTTTTATTCATGTATTAAACAATGTACTAAGTTATACTATGTTTGGTAGAAATTTTTGTTTAGGTAGAAAAATCAACATAACTTATACCATGTTTGATTGCATTTTTGTAGTCCTATATAATTAATACCAACATAGCTTATGAGGGAATATCTATGTATAAAAGTTATGCAAAGTAGAAGGTCGAATAAGTTATGTGAATATTAGTTATACTATGTATTAAAGTGATAACTTACCTATTTATCCTATTAATTAGTTTTATTATTTTTAATCAGAAACTTTATTATTTTCATATATATAAGTTTGTTGTTTTTATTGTTGGGAAAGACAAGACACTAACAAAGAATGTCTGACAGGATAACAGCGGAAGAATACCCAAGCCTATACTTTCTCTTCTCGATTTGAACCAAGAAAAGACAAACAACCACAAGCAATATGATAGTAAGGCAGCAAGTAATTCAACCAAACAAATATAACAAGGCAATAATAAACCAATCACACAAGATTTACGTGGAAAACCCTTCGATGTGAAGAGTAAAAAACCACGGGACCAAAAGCTCCACCATAATCACCAAGAGTTACAATATTGTTCTCCAAAATTGGCCACAAAACAAGTGCCAAACAACGAGAAACAACAAAATAAGTTTGCACCAAATCTAGAGAATTAAAGGAGCAAAATCACCAATTTCGCAACTATTGTTCATGACAGCAAAACTGAAGCTGCAGGCCGCCAAATCCAACTCTGTTAGTTTCTAATCAAAGATTGAGATGAAGATAATATGCTGTCTAAAAATCAGCTCAATCGGACAAGAAACGAAGCGGGAATCGCAATTTGAAGTTGGCTGTTAGGGCTGAATTTTGACTGCAAAAACTGCTTTCTTTCTCTCTTTTTGGCTGCTGAAAAAACTCTTTGTGTATATAAAAATAACACATAAATAGGCTTATATTTGCCTCATAAGAATGGGCCTATGGGCATAAATGGGTTGGTCCAAATTGGGCTTTTATTTATCCACATAGGAAGGGGAAAAGGCCCATAACCCAACAATTCTCCCCCTCACGACTATGTGGAGGAGACCGCCATCCTGGCGACCATGCAACAATCTTCAAACTTCCCTCTTGGCAAAGCTTTAGTCATCATATTTGAACCATTGTCATTTGTATGAATATTTTCAAGCTCAAGCAACTTAGAATCCAACACATCTCGAATCCAATGGTATCTCACATCAGTGTGTTTAGACCGACCATGGAATGTAGAATTCTTGCCAAGATGTATAACACTTTGACTGTCACAATAAAGCACATACCTATCTTGAGCATAACCAAGTTTCCCCAAGAATCTCTTCTTCCAAAGCAATTCTTTACAAGCTTCAACGACAACAATAAACTCATCTTCTGTAGTAGATAGAGCAACACATTTTTGCAACCTAGATTGCCAAGACACAGCCCCCCTGCAAAAGTAACCAAGTACCCTGAAGTAGACTTGCGAGTATCAACATCACCAGCTATGTCTGAATCAGTATAACAACAAAGAATAAGCTTCCCTGTACCAAAACACAAACTCAGACTAGAAGTGCCACAGAGATATCTCATAACCCACTTCACAACATTCCAATGTTCTCTTCTCGAATTAGAAAGAAAACGGCTAACAACTCCAACAGCGTGAGCAATATCGGTCTTGTACAAACCATCACATACATCAAACTACCAACAGCTGAAGCATAAGGAACTTTCTTCATATCTTCCTTCTCATCATCACTAGAAGGACACTGTTTCGTGCTCAATTTGAAGTGCATAGCTAAAGGTGTACTGACAACCTTAGCTTTGTCCATGCTGAATCTGCGAAGTGCTTTCTGAATGTACTTCTCTTGTGATAATACCAATTTCTTGGCCTTTCTATCACGGACAATCTGCATGCCAAGAATCTGCCTTGCTGGTCCTAAGTATTTCATAGCAAAAGACTTAATCAACTCTTGCTTCAACTTCTGAATCCTGCGAGTATATGACCAACAACAAGATTGTCATCAACATAAAGCAACACAATAATAAAGTCACCATCAGAGAACTTTTGCACAAAAACACAATGGTCTGAAGAAGTCTTCTTGAAGCCCTGCTGACTCATAAAAGAACCAAACTTCCTGTACCACTGCCCGGGAGCTTGTTTCAAACCATACAAGCTCTTCTTCAATTTGCAAACATAATTCTCTTTACCCTTGACTTCAAAACCTTCCGGTTGCTCCATATAAATTTCTTCATCTAAGTCACCATGGAGGAAAGCAGTTTTAACATCCATTTTCTTAGCCTCTAAATCTAGACTTGCAGCCAAGCCTAGAACCACACGAATGGATGACATCTTCACAACTGGAGAGAATATCATCAAAATCAACTCCCCTTTTCTGATTAAATCCCTTGACAACTAATCTAGCTTTGTACCGTGGAACTGGATTACCATCTTCATGTTTCTACCGAAAACCTACCTGTTTTTAAAAGCTTTTGTCTTTAGGTAACTTAACCAAATCAAAGGTATGATTATCATGCAAGGATTTAATCATCTTCCATAGCATCAAACCACCTTTCTTTTTCTTCACTTTCCATGGACTCATCAAGACTCTCAGGTTCTCCCCCGTCAGTCAAGAGTACATACTCATTGGGAGAATAACGAGATGAGGAATTCTCTCTCTACTAGATCGTCTGAGAGAACTCTCCGGAGCATCTATAATTGGTTGTTGGACAACCACATCATCTTGCACTGGAGCATCAACAACATCATGCCGATCATTCTGAACATGATCACCATCTTCATTATCAACTTGATTTTCATCATTATGAAGATTTTCTTCCGGTGCAATAGTCAAAGGAACTGGATCAACATCAACTAAGCTCTCACTACTCTGAAAATCAGCCTTGTCAGCTTTGTCAAAATCTTAACAAGTTTCTTCTCAACAGGATCATAGAAACGATAACCAAATTCATCTTGACCATAACCAATGAAGATACACTGCCTAGTTTTAACATCCAACTTTGATCTTTCATCCTTAGGAACATGTACAAAGGCTTTACACCCAAAGACTCTAAGATGATCATAAGAAACATTCTTACCAGTCCAAACTCTGTCAGGGACATCACCATCTAAAGCAACAGCAGGAGATAAATTTTGATAACATAAGCAGCAGTATTAAGTGCTTCTGCCGAAAAGGAATTTGACAGCTTAGCATCTGAAAGCATACATCTAACCCTCTCAACTAGAGTTCTGTTCATCCTCTCTGCTAAACCATTTAACTAAGGAGTCTTTGGAGGATTTTTCTGATGTCTAATACCCTGCTCTCTGTAATATCTATCAAAAGGACCAATATACTCACCGCCATTATCTGAGCGGATGTATTCCAATGTCTTCCCTGTTTGTCTTTCAACCAAGGCCTGAAAACTCTTGAACACATCAAGTACTTGATCCTTGGACTTCAAAGGAAATACCCAGAGTTTGCGAGAATGATCATCAATAAAAGTCACAAAGTAAAGTGCACCACCATGAGAACTTACCTTAAAAGGACCACACAAATCAGAATGTACCAACTCCAGCAAATCAAGCTTTCTTGAAGGCGGATGACTCTGAAAAGAAACTCTTTTCAGTTTACCGGCTAAGCAATGAACACATTTCTTCAACTTTGCTTGTTTCACTCCAGAAAGCAAATTTTTCTTAGACAAACTATCAATCCCCTTCTCGCTCATATGACTCAGCCTTCTATGCCATAACTCTGATGAAGTATCATTCTCCACCAAATTTACTGAGTCTCTGGACATGGAGCCCTGAAATACATACAAGTTAGACAACTTGTCACCACGGGCCACAACCATCAAACCTCTAGTAAGCTTCCACTGGCCAACACCAAGTGTATTAACATAACCCTCATCATCAAGATATCCCACAGAAATCAAATTCAAGCGAAAATCTGGAGCATGCTTGACATTATATAGAACTAGTTTGGAACCATTATTTCTTTCCAAACAAACTGTCCCAATGCCAATAACTTCAACTTCATGATTATTTTCCATTTTCAACGTTCCAAAATTACCTGGAGTATAAGAAGAAAATAATTCCTTCTTTGGCATGACATGAGAAGTAGCATCAGAATTCACAAACCAGCTAGAATCATCACGAACAAGATTAATGGCATTTGCATCACAAGAAACAAGAAGATCATCATTAGCAACAACAGCAACACGATTTTCATTATCGCCTTCTCTCTTTTGTTGTCTCATATCTCTCTTGTGCTTGTAACAATATTTCATGATATGCCCATTCTTGTGGCAATAGTCACATGTAATATTCTTGTATTTAGACTTTGACTTGCTTTTACTTTTACCTCTATCATTCTGACCTCTGGACTTGTTTCTCCCCCTATCTTTAGTAACCAAAACATCGGAGTGTGAAGCTGAAGAAGATGAGGCTTGAGATCTTCTTCTCATTTCTTCATTCACGACACCACTCTTAGTATATTCCATGGTTACAACACCACTGGGAGCAGAATTAGTCAAAGAAACTCGAAGAGTTTCCCAAGAGTCTGTCAGAGTATTAAGAAGCCAAAGTCCCTGTATCTCATCATCAAACTTTACACCCATTCCG